GAAGTCCATTCTATATTTGAGATTTCTATCAAGAGTTTCAAGTATCAACCCTTAGATATGGACTTAATTCTAGTCCCAGAATCATATCAACATTTAAATTACTAGTCATTTCAATCATACCAAATTACCAACTATTTGGAATCAAACTGCTACTTTTAATAAATATCGAGTCTGGACTCAAAAAGCTTCCACGTGATGAATGTGTTGACGCATAAGCCAACTTACCCGGATCATGAGGCTCCCAGTTTTTGGCAATAAAATTCTTGAAAGAAATGCTCGCCACCTGTCTAACTGCCATATCGCAACTCCCTTCTACTATTATCTGCAAAAGCCTCACCAAATGTTGGGGCACGTACTGAAACTGCAGCAACCCAACAAATAATAGGATCAATTTCAATATTATTGGATCCCAGAAGTCAGGAAATTGAACACACGCATCGTGAGCTTTGAGAAGCTAAATTCGCACTTCTCACTAACTTACAAAAATAAAGAAAGGTTAAATTTTAGTTAATCCATATAACAGCACCTGATTCAGACTTTCTTCAGCAGCTTTCCGTTCACTAGGATTGGGGCTGAGTGCACCCTGCAGGATCAACACCAAGCTCTGAAGATCCATGCCGCCTTCGCTTGTGTTTCTTCTGTAACAAAAATGCACAAATTCAAATGAAGAATAAAGTCCAAACCCAGAATGATGATATCCGGACTGAAATCACTCCAGGAATTATAGGAGCGCGTTGGATGTATTTAAATATTAGGGTTTTAGTGAGGTTTTCTTTTCTTTTCTTTTTCTTTTTTTTTTTTGTTGGGCAACGGTAGAGAATTTTATACAAGAATTTTTTGTTTTGTCTATATTTTTATCTTTTGCTTTGGTTAATTTTGAAAAATATGATATGGTTAGTTGTAAATGAATATAATAAAATAATATTAAATAAAATCATCAAAGTTGATTTGATTTAAAAGTATGATGTGAAGTAATGTTTAGTTATGGTTAGTTAAAATTATATGAGTGGATGAATAATTAATTAAAGTTGGTGTGATGTGTAAAATATAAATGTTAAACGGTACTTGGCAGACGGGCTAGCTCCTTCAGCTCGAAAAAGAAAAAGAGTTAGGGTCATTTATTAATAGCCCATTTAAATCCGGATATTTTAGGTCCGGACTGTTTAGCCCGAAAACTGTTAGGGCTAGTCCGTTTAACTTGGGTTGGGCGGTGTAAACCGCTAGAGGTAGCCTAAACATTACAAACTCTTGTGACAATATTTACCAGATACTGTCACAAGAATATTGAGAATAGCAACTTCATCATCCACTTCCTTTTTTGCAGCTCTCAGGCTTGCGCACTTCCGGAGTAGAGACCTGAGCGTTGCGCTTGTGCCAGCATCAAGTGGCCAATCGACTGCCACACAAGGAGCAAACAACCATAAACTCTCATCACGAGGTAATGTGTTGATATTCTCTATGCAACTTATCCGCCTTTTCAGCATTGATGTTCGAGCAGCAATGTCCATTTTCAAAATCTCAGAGAGGGTCGGGGTTTCGACTGTGAAATTGGAATTCTCGGGAGAATGTAGATTGGTTTTAGCATCATCCCTTGGCTCTGGAATACAGGAAGTTGGTGAGGGACATGAATCATCTTCTATTGTTAAGTTCACAAATTTCTCAACACTCGTGTTAATTTCAAGCATCTGACCCAGAATATCATCTTCATTGGTGGACGGGTGCTCTTAATGAGTGTAAGATTTTGACTTTTTTTATCCATTATATCATCCGCTCCAATGGTCATGATTTATTCTTATTTCTTTCATTAAGACTCTTACTCACTTGAACCCAACCAAACATCTATATATATATATATATATATATATGTGTGTGTGTGTGTGTGTGTGTGTGTGTGTATGGGATGTGGTTCAAATGAGAACCAAGTCTTAATGTGAGATCGTGAGAACCGCTATTTTAATTGGGGCGTAGTGCTATGATTGATTGTGTTTGATGTTATTTTTAACTAGGATGAATTTTATTAAAAATAGCAACACAATTTCTGGTAGCACTTGTAAAAATAATAGCATCATCTAATATGAAAAATAGCATCTAATATTAAAAATAGCATAAAAAACGGTTCTCACGGTTCTCACACCAGGACTAGTTTTTATTTGAACTAACCCCACCCCTATATGTATGTATATATATATAGATGTTTGATTATTTTTTAAATAGTAACTATTTCCTTATAAAAAAATCTATTTACTATTTCGAGAAATTAATTTAACAATTTATGGTATATTTCAAATGATCACGTATGGAAATTGCAGCTCATTATTTGAGGAAGTAATTAAGCCATATTTTTAAGATATCTTGATTACTCAAATCATGTGAATTAATTAATATATGGTATAAAATGTCTAAGGAAATAATTAAGCCATATTTTAAGATATCTTGATTACTCAAATCATGTGAATTAATTAATGTAAGTTGATTATTTTTTAAATAGTAACTATTTCCCTCCAAAAATAATATCTTTACTATTTCGATAAATTAATTAAACAACTTATGGTATATATCAAATGATCACTTATGGAAATTGCGGCTCATTATTTAAGGAAGTAATTAAGTCATATTTTAAGATACCTTAACTACTCAAATCATGTAATTAATTAATATATGGTACAAAGTGGGCGGTTTTATTTTTGGTATTGATGGTTGTTTCTATAAAAAATAAATTAATCAATATATGGTATAAAATGAGCAAAATTATTAGGTTATTTGATGACTGTTTTTTGGTAGGATTTGTTGGAAATGTAATCAATATACGGGGTAATTTTTTCTGTAATGTGCAAGTTATATTGGTTTTTTAGACGTGAGTTTCAATTTTTTGTACGAAATTAACATAATAAAATTACCGTAACTTCGACAAAATATTATGAACAGATATTTTGATATCATATGCGTGTATCGATGTTTTTTTATAGAAAAAGCTCTGGTCATTTTTTTTTGTATAATTAGTGGGTCTCGATTTAATTCATTTTCCGTTACGACATTTGAAGTAATTTTGTGAGAAATACACTGTTCATTTTTTTTTAGCATGATAAGGAGTGTCGATTTCTTTTTTTTTTGCATAAAAAATCTTATGACGAGTTGACCCCGACCTTCAAAGCAGCCTAGGTCTCGTCTTCTCGTCAGACACCGCACCGCATACGAACTACGAATGTCGGGTCCGACCCTGTCTTCTTTTGATGCTCTTCAGCCTCTCCGACGTCAGATGCTACCGGCTGACTTTTCGATTCACGAACCACCGAGTTGCGCAACACAGCCCTGCCGACATCACCTTTGCCAAGCTGCCGAAACCGCAGTTGGGGATCTCCAATTTGTCGTCGGTCGACCAAAGTAGCCATTGTCGATCTCTTAGTCTGACGGGCCGACCTCGTCCTGCCGGAACCTAGACATCATCGACCTCACTCGTCGGTGTCGAGCCCTTCACATTCAAGTTTTCGACCTCAGTCGTCAAAACCTCGCTCTGTCGAACCCCGACATCATCGACCTCAGTAATCGGGGTCGAGCCCTTCACATTTGGGTCTCCCACCTCAGTCGTCGGGGCCGACCTCACCTTTCCCTATCGCAATTGCCGGGCCGAGCCATATAAGACGGCAGATCCAATCTCGTCATTTCCGATTAACCCTACTGAGGCCCCACCGAAACTACGGCCGACCTCCGATTTGCACCACCAAGGCTCGACTGCCATGGCCGACCTCCAAATCAACACTAATGGGTCTTCTCATAGATCTGGATTGGACCGGCCTAAATGAGCTCCAATCTGCCTGAACCGCTTCTGAATTGCCATGAACACCTGCTAGAACTCAACGCTGGAGGGGTTTCCGGCGTAGAGCCTCTTATGCTTAAGTCAATTCCAAGAGAGGGAGAGGTGCTTTGTAGAGAGAGAGAGAGAGCAGTATAAAATGTGTAGAGAGTGTAAAAGTTGTGAAATGGTAATACCCCATCCACTTTTATAGGGGAAAATACCTGCCCGGAGTGCCATGCCCGAGTGCCACTGTAACGCCCCGAATATTTTTACTATTTATGGAGCTCAACTTTATTGCCAAAAATAGCCAGTTTCCTTATTTGATGCATTTAATTATTTTTATTTGCATTAAATCGAGTAATTAATATTAAGTCTAAGCCATGGAGGATTTATTCGATTTTAATATTAAAATCAGATTTATTTAGCCAAGTATCGGTTTTATTTTAAGTTAAAAACCGAGCCTTGGAATAATCGAAATTTTAGTAAATCGAGTCAAAGCTCGGACAGGCCGAGCCTCGACCTACATCATTTCTGAGCGAGTCGATTTTATTCTGGCCCACTTTAATTAAATCAAGCCCAAATTCGATTTTAAATTTAGTCCATTTTAAAAATTGAGCCTATGTTGATTTTTAAATCTCGGCCCATTATTATTTAAATCGATCGACTAAATTATTTAGTCCAAGTCCCGTTATATGTAATTGGGCCGAACATTTAAAATCCTAAGTCTATGTTCGAACACTAGCCCGATTCTATTAAATCCTAAGCCCGATTTTAAAGCCCAATAGTCCAAGTCCGTACATCGGCATTCCATCACGCACAGACACTGTCTGTACCTGCATTGCGAGCCCTCGATACGTTCGATCCCGCTCCCGTACAGTTGAGCACGCCCTCACCGTCCACAGCTCGTGTTCCCATCGACCCCAGCGACCCTGCTCGCACGTCCGTATGCTGCCCGTGATCTCGAGTTTAGTGAGCCTTCGGACGTCCAGCAGAAGCGAGTGTCCCGTCCGTACGAGTGTGCTCCCTCGCGCGTGCGAGCCCGACCGAGCCGACTCCGTCCAAGCCCGTTCCAGCTGCACCAGGACAGAGCCGTTTCGGTCCAACCGAGACCCTCTCAGACCCGATCCACGGCTAACCATTCAGCCCCGCCACGATTCGCTTCACTCGAGCATATTCCCTAGCCGATCTATTTTCGATCTTTACGATTCGAGTCGATCTAAGGTATTTTGGCTTGAACCCGACTCCAATGGCTTAGATATGATTATTGTAGAGTTATAAAATGTTAATTTGAGGATTTGAGCGATATTTGAATTAATCGGATTTTGCGAGCTTGAAACAATTGATTTCTCGATCTCTTGATATAAAAGTGATAAAATGGCGATTTAAATTTGATAAACCATAATTCGATGTCTTAAGGCCTTGGTGCAAATTTGGGAATTTTTGGAGTTCGTTTGTTAGGCGAACCGATTTTATGTGTGTTTGACTGGTTAATGCTCGTTTATAGCTGAATGGGTTGTAGGTTGAATTTGGTTGCAATATTTTGACCATAGATCATGTATGTGCTGCGGATGTTATAGTTTAACTTTCGTGATTTTTGGATGCCGTTTGATATAGATGTAAAATCGGGACTTTAGCTAAATAATGCGATATTTTAGGAAACTAGCTGGTTGTGATTTTAGCTGCAGTTGTTAGATGTAAAATCCTAATAAATCACACAGAACGTATTTTTTAAATATCGGCTTAAAATGAATTAGGATTTTCGAGAATCGAGAACCTTAGTTTTATCCGGTTCAGATAACCGGGTAAATTTTGGATCGAGTTTAGTCATCCGAACCTTAGTTCCGTTTAAATAACTCTAGACGTCATAAGCTTATAAATGAGTCCTTGGGTGTCGGGACGTGGTCGGTCGGCCGGTTAGTCGCTGACGGGACCATCCGAACCTAAGAAGGCTATCGAGGCCGTGTGCCTCGAAGCGATTGAAATTATCCAACCGACGTGTATTAACACGTATCCGTAACGCGTTTCGACATCCCGCACATGTGTTCGACCATCGTCCGACCATTAGAGCCGAAACACCGAGTGCGTTCCCGTGCACCACGTTCGAGTTGAACCACCGAGTGCGTGCCCATGCACCGAGTCCGTCCGATCTACTGTCAACGCACCGTTTTCGTTAGCCGTGGTCCAAGCACGCCCCTGCGTTAGTGACCATGGCACCGTTATAAACCCGCACTTTGGCAAGGTTGTATTAGTTGTGTTCGTGCAGGCCCCGAGTTGCCATGCCGAACCCGGACCACGGTTAAGTCGAGCTACATATAGCCAGCGAATAACCGGTCGGTTCCGAGTGAGCTGCCGGTCCAGTCCAGTCGAACGAGTCTGGACGGTTCGCAGAGAATTTCAGTTCAGCCGAATCAGTCCAGGCAGTCTGGACAATTCCAGAAATTTCAGTCAGATTAAATATTCAGATAGATTTAAGATTTCAGTCAGATTTGAAATCCAGACAGCTTAAAACTAGCCATATTAGAACCCAGTTAGATTTTAAGGTTTTAGTCAGATTATAGTTCCAGACTTATAAATATTTCAGAGAACTCTAGTATGCCTAAAAGACAATAATATTTTCAAAATCAGCTCGTAATTCCTAAAATGATTTTCAAAACCCAGTGAGCGAACCTAGACAGATCAGATAATAAAATTCGAGTTTTATTCTGAGCCCAGTACTTAGAATATTTCGCTCATAAATTTTGTAGCTTGGGGAGAGTCGAGCCTCCACCTGCTACACAGATATATCTCAGCATTTGCATTCGATAGCAACTAGGTGGGG